CTTGTTAATGACTGGATGAATTTGGGGGTGGGGGTGGAGGGTGATCTGAGATGAAACATATCATGCTATAGTTGCACAAACACTAAAGCCAAACTTAGTTTTGTGTGAAAGTAAAGAGTTGTGGGTAGGGTGTTTTACAATAGTGTAACTTGTCTGATATATCATACAGCAATTTTTTTTCATTCCTTACCAGTGTGCATACCAAAATATACCGTCCCAGTTCAACCACTGGCCATATACCGTAATAATTTATCTTTGAAGCTAAGCTTTGATGTATAATTCTTCATTGGTACAGGAAAAGTCAAGTCTACAAGAACAACTAGATGACACATCAGCTGAACTGTCTAGTCTACAGGAGGAACACTCTAAGTTAGAAGAGCTGTCGAGGAGAGAACGAGAACAGTTCACACACGAGAAGAAAGCTAATACGCAGGTTAGAGAAAATGTACTCTTCATTTGGTGAAAATTATAAGTAACAAAAGGTGGTATACTATCAGGATACGACTTCTCGTTGTAAAACAATAAATACACACAATATTTTAATATACATGTAGACAGCATGTGTGCTGAATGTATGCGACTTTCTTTCCAAACTTGTAAGTATAAGTTATTCAATAATAAACTTCTCGTTGTAAAACAATAAATACACACAATATTTTAATATACATGTAGACAGCATGTGTGCTGAATGTATGCGACTTTCTTTCCAAACTTGTAAGTATAAGTTATTAAATAATAAAATGATATTTCATCATCTGCTATTTGCTAAAGTTTTTTTTCAGTAGGCCTACTTTGGTTTGTTTCAGTTACTGAAGGACCTCAATCAGGAGTTGGATGACCTACGCAGATACCACCGTGAAACAGAAAACCTGAAACGAGCTCGCAGCCCTAGTCTACTAAAGCTTCCGGCTCAATATCGAGAGCTTGAGCAGGAAGTGCGAAATCTGCGTGATGTATGTCTAGAGAAACTTTCTTATTTCGGTTATAAATCTAGTATTTTTCTCTGTGATATGTTAAAATGTGTTCATTGTAGGAGGATAAACCTCGCCACAGGTATCTTCTGTCCAAATTAATTATTTTTTGACAATAAATCTGCCACTTTTTAAGAGCACAGTCAATGATAAATTTGCACACCAACAATTATTTTATTCAAATCACTAATATCATATTGTTAAAAAAGGAAGAGACACAATATTAAAGCTAATTTATAAGTATAATATATGTTTGAAACATCCTATACCATGCTTAACTTATCACTGCACTTTGTCTCTGGTGAGACAATAAGTTAACCCTTATTAGACAGGCACGAGACATTATGGAGGTAAGAGTTTACTGTTGTTAGACAGACATGAGACATTATGTAGGTAAGAGTTTACTGTTGTTAGACAGACATGAGACATTATGTAGGTAAGAGTTTACTCTTGTTAGACAGACATGAGACATTATGGAGGTAAGAGTTTACTCTTGTTAG